CCTTTCAGGAGGAGCAAACCTTTCACCCTGAAGGTCACGGAGCAGAGGAGCATCGCCGAGCACGTCATGCTCACCACCTCCCCCGCCGTGCCCCTGCTGCATAAACCAGGAGCTCCTGAGGCTCCACATCAACCTGAAGGCCCAGACACCCACCTCCCCTCTCCACACGACCTCTCGGTGTCCCTTCACCCCCAACCTCCTCTTTCCAGGACCCCCAGCAACGAGGTGGCTCCAGAGGTGACCTACGTCACCAGGGTGCACGCTTCTTTCCACAGTGTCAAGCCACCCAGGGCTAAGACCCCCACGCCAAATCAGCCACAAGGAGCTGTCAGGCAAGAAGATGAGAGGCCACCTTCTCCAGCACCTGAAAGAGGCAGCTCTGGACCATCTCCAGGGCAGAGACCCACCCACCTCGATGACAGCAAGGCCACAGCTCCTCAACTGGAGCCTCCTCCTGCTGCAGAGGCAGAGCCTCCTAACCCAGCTCGAGGCAGACCCTCCTACCCCAGCTCCGGCTGAAGAGCCCATCCAAGCTCCTTCACCCAAGCCCAGCCCCTCCAATGCCCACACAGATAAACCCATGACCCATGGAAGTGACACCAAACTACCTGGATCAGAGACAGCTCCTGAATTACCCAAGGAAGATGGCAACATCCCAGAGCCCTCAACACCCAGCGCTCCCTGGAGGCAAGGACACCCAGAGACAGCAACCCCACCCCAAGATGACAGTTCTGGGGCCACCTCCTCAGCCACCCACACCAAACGTGGCAGTCAACCTCAATTGTCCCCCAGCTCGCCAACCACCACCCCTCCCATCAAAGCTGAGCCAGCACCACCATCAGGAGCAGCACCAGGACCTGCTGGAGCCAGCGTCAGCGGGTGGCAGCGCCTCAGGAAGCACTTGATGGTGCAACCAGAAGCACCCAACTTCCCAGAGCCCGAGCCAGAAGAGCTGGGACAGAAGGAAGGGAGGAAGGAGAAGGACAACTCTCAAGCCATCATCCGCCAAGACCTGGGGTTGTTCAAATCCAAAGCCATGAGGATGTGGGATGCTATTTTATACCAGATGGCCGTCAGCAAGGAGAAGAAGCAGCAAGCAGAGGAGAAGAAGCCACGGAAAGAAGAAGGCTTCTTCCTCCCCCGCCGCTTACCCATCCTCCTCCACAAGCCACGCTTCGACGCCCGCAAGCTGAAGGAACTGGCTGCCAAACCCATGACCAAGATCACCACTGTCTTTGATGTGAGCAGGTTCAGACCTGAGGGGGCCGAGAAGCACACCAAGAGCTTCAACAGGACAGCGTCAGGATGGTCGGTCAACTGAGGGGTGCCACCAAGCCTACATCTCAGGAGGTTCCTCCAAGCAAGGCAGCACCCATGACTAGAGGTTTACTGCCCAACAGAGCCAAGGGTAAGGGGGAAAAGAAGACTAAATGGGACCCCTCCAGCCTCGTGCTGGGGGTTTAAGGGTTGCTCTCCATATGTATAGAAGCTTAAATGCATAATAGACCCTCTCCAAAGGTCATGAGGCAGGAGAACACACGTGCACTTGTTTTCAGAAGAGCCAACAACGAGCTCTGCATGCAGTAACATGGGGAAGAGGGGGGAGGCAGTGAAGAGGAGAAGTCCCCTGCAGAAAAAGAAACCCAAGATGATGGAATCTGGATTATTTGGTTGTGTTTAAGAGCGTGGTAGACCCTAGAAAGAGCAGCAGTTGAGAGAACGTGAAGGATTGCTCCACATCTTCTTTAAGGAGTCTTAAAAACTGACCTCAGAGAGGGTACACAGCAGCTCTCCAGCTTCTCCACTGAAAGTCCACTGCACACCCACCTGAGGACAAGGTGGAAACTCATCCTGTCACCCAAGGGATGGTGTAAGATGGCCAGCCTGCTCTCACACAGCAGTTCTCCTGCCTCAAACGTGGACAGCAGCATCTGATGTCCTCCTAGGTCAGTCTACTCAACCCTAGCACCCAGAAGACTAACTCTGTCCCAGTGGCCACCTTCTCTCATGTATTTTATTGTGGTTTTGTGAGTATGGCTGTGGGTTGGTGCTTTCATGATAACCACCATGAAGAGCCTCCTTCAGCACATGGACATCCCACTCTGGGTATTGAACTGGGTGCTGTTTTCTGGGAGGTTCTTCTACCTGCAGGTAGTCTCATTTTTGGGGGAACTTCATGATCTTTGCATACCTCCTGTTGCCCAACGTTCTGGAAAAGGGCATTTTAAACAAAATCCCCAACTCTGTCCAGGCACAGGGACAACTGTGCTCTGCAGCATTAGTCACCCTTTGAACCACTCTGGTTGGAAAGGACCTCCAGGATCAAGTCCAACCTTCATCCCAACACCTCCCTGACCACCAGACCACAGCCTCAAGTGCTGCATCTACTCATTTTTTGAGCCCCTCCAGGGATGATGACTCCACCATGACCCTGGGCAGCCCCTTCCAGGGCCCAACCACTCTCTGAAGGAAGAAATTCTTCCATTGCCACCAGGCTTAGGAGCATGAAAGCTGGAGAGGAGCTATTTCTGTTTCACAGAGGACTTTGTCCTATGCTGGGATGTTCCTCCAGAGCTCGTGCAGGATTTCTATGTTTAGTCCCCATAGGAAACTCGATCCACAGCTCTTTACATTCTCTGTCTGCAGAGGATATGGAGCTGACCAAAATTTTCCCCAAGCCAAACTACAGACAGACTTAGAAACAAACCCAAGGGCCCTTTTTGCTTTTTCTGAGCTCTTCCAGTTTTGAAAGGATGTTCTAAGAAGAGTTCAGTTATCAGACCTTCACTGAAGGTTTCACTTGGCTGGTCCTATCCTGTTTTGTAACCCCCTTCCCTGCTTTAAGGAAGGAAAAAAAGAGAAGGATATCAACCCAAGTATCTAAAGTTTGGGATTTCTCCAATCCACCCAGTTTTCCATGAAAAAGATGAGGAGAAATAGGTTGGAAATGCACCAGTGGATCTCAGGTCAGCCTCTGCAGGATAATTCAACATCTACAGAGCAACACAAACCCAAAATCAAAAGACTGCAGCATAAAACATGTAACCCTGGTAAAGGTGACCTCACCACAACCCTTTTTGGGGCAGAAATGGTCCCTCAAGTCCAACCTCAACCTCCCCTGAGGCTGTTTCCTCTTGTTCCTTGGGATTCCTGATCCCCTTTGGAGACTGGGTGAACCTGGCCAGAGAAGACTGAGAAGCAACTGTGCTTTAATCCACTTTGTCCTGCAGTGAAGGTGACCACTGAGAAGAAATGAGGGACTTCAGGCTTGTTTGGATCTGCTGGGCTCCTGCCCCACAGCTCAGGAAGGAATGGGAAGAGGAAAACCTGGACCTGTGCTCAAGCAGCTAGAAAGCTGGGGAGGATGTTGAGTGAGGGACATGGGGGAAGAGACAGAAGAATTTGGGAGTAAAAAGGCAACCAGGAAGGGATCTGGCTTTTAGGATGAACATAGTTCAGGGAAAAGCAGAGGAGGTGGGGAGCAGGGACCTCACAGAAAAGCCACCTAAAAACCCAAGGAGAGAGTCAAGACAAGCTCCTTCAGCTATCACAGTCCATAAAGACCTTCTGTGAATAAGCCCATGGGACAACAACGTTGTGCTGTGGCTGTTTGGGGTAGGGAGTAGATCCTAAAGGACATCCCATGACAGTCAAGGGTCTTTCCAGAAAGGATGCTGGAGAGAGACCAGAGCCAAGGGCACTTTGAGCTGCTTGTGGATGCTCAGGTAGGGCCAACAAAACCTGCTGACAACCCAGCAGAACTTGTTTGCTATAAAGAGTTGAAGCTCAGCTGGATCCCACCTGGTGGATCAAAACAAACTGCAGGAAAAAAGAAGAGGACTGATCAAAGAAGAAACCTTGGAAGAGATTTTTGAATGCCACAGGCAGAGAAGCAAGTTGAGGATACCAACCCTGTGGGTTCCTCCTCCTTGATACCTAAAAACCAAGCTTGGGTTTGTACCACTGCCCATCTCAAAGCAGCATTCCAGAGACCTTCTAAACAGGCACCACAAAAGGGGGAAAAAAAACCCTCAAACAAAAACAATGTGTTGTACTCAGAAACCCGCTCCTTGAGGAGGGGAAAAAAAAAAAGAGAAGGAAGGAACACAACCCCCTGAAGAATTCAGAAACAAAAGGTGTTTTGTAGCAGACAGAGCTATTTATAAGCTTGGCTATGAAATAAAGCTTCTTTTTTATAGTTGGAAATAAAAAGAGTGAGCTTGTTTTCACCCCTGATAACTTCCTCTCCTTTCACTCTCAGTGCCAGATGCTGCCTGGTTGGGTCCAAGCTGTTATCACCTCCCCTCTACACCATTCCTCCTTATGCCACAACCCTCTACAATCATCCACTCCAGAGAACACCAGGATCTCCATTAACAGGCTGAGCCAAAGGCCATTCCAGAGGTCACAGAGCCACCAATCCAGCTCTGCTGATCCTTTCTCCTGGGTCCATCTGCCCAGCACAGCAGAGGTTCATCTCCTCCCCACTACAACCCTACTATGGGCTGGTTGAAAGAGGTTGCTCAAATAATCCAAGTTTTCCCCCTGATTAATTCAGTAAATCTAAGAATTAGACCCCCAAAGCCTGAATTTCAGGGGTACACCAGCCCCTGTGCTCAGCCAGCACGACCTCCAGCTCTCTGCTTCTCCTTGCAAGGTTAGACAGCACCAGAAAACACAGCAGAGAGACTGTTCCTTTGAACCACCAACTGCAAACACACCTTTGCCCCAACAGCAGCAGCTGAGGGAACTTGTTCTGCAGATGAACACAAGCATCCACCTTCCTAGGAGCATCAGAGACCAAACCCAAACCCCTCCTCTGGAGGCTCCTTCCAGCTCAAAGCTCAGGAGCAAGGCTCCAGCTCTTGCCACACGGGACCTTCAGGCTCCTCTGAAGTGTAGCTGGTAGAAACCAGCCCAGCATCCTGCCAGAAGGGTGCCAGGAGTTTCCTACCCAGGTCCTCCCCCACCTACCTGGTTAATGACTTCTCCAGGCACACTTATTTCTCTGTGGCATCATCCATCAACACCTTCTTGTACTGGCCGTGGCCTGTCGCAACGAATTTATACTTTTTGCCAGGAGTGGGCTGAAGAGAGGAGAAAAAGAGCCCAAATCAGGATTTCCTCCCCTTAAATAAACAGTTGAGGTCCAATAACTGAAGCCAGAGGAGCGTGGAGTAGAGTTGTGCAACCTCAAAGGGTTTGGAGACAACCTAACTCTGTGCTCCACATAAAACTCTGACTGGCCACCACTTTCTGTCAGCATAAAGTGGTACAAAAAGGGCAGGATTTGCTCCAGGAAAGGGCAGATGCCACCCTGGGCATCATAAAAGAAGCCTCATCTAATGTCCAGGACCTGCAGGCCAGGCTTGGTTTCATCCATGGCAAGATCTGGCTTCATTTACCATCAACTGGCAGAAGAACCAACCCAAGAACATCCAAAATACTTTGATGTTCCTCTCCCAGCCTGGCCAGTTGGAGCAGCAGCTGGTTGCTCCACTTGAAAAGTTATTCCCACAAACATCCAAGAACCCCCAAGACATCCACAGTGGTTGAGGCTGTCTTGGGTTCAGTTCCACTTCATTTTGCAGCTTTTCTTTATTTTCCAGTGTAAAAAAAGCTTGACAAGAGCAAAGTAACTCATATTTGTAGTTCAACTGGAGCCTAGAAGGTCAAAGCTCTCAACTCATGGGCTGAGAACATGCTGCTCAAGACCTCCTTTAGTATTTAGTGGTTATAAAGTGATTTTTGCCCTCATTTTTACTGGGCCTGAAGCAACAGCAGCTCACTGGTAGGAAGAGCTCTTGGTTACACCACTGCACTGATGGACACAGGCAGCCCAAGTCCCTGCAGAACATCACCATCCCCTCAACACACCCAACCCAGCCAGGAGCTCTTCTTTTTTCCCCAGCAGAGCACGTGCTTTCACACCCACCTTGATGCTGGTGTCAGGTTTGGGATTGCCCTTCTGCTCCCAAAGGCTCCTTTTACTCACAATGTCTCCAGCCACAATATCCTGAGGAGATCAGAGAATGGTTTGGGTTAGAAGAGACCTTTCAAGCTCATCCAGTCCAAGCCCTCTGCACTGAGCAGGGTGCTCAGAGCTCCATCCAACCTCCCCTGGGATGGTTCCAGGGATGGGGCAGTGATCATCTCTCTGGGCAACCTGGGACAAGGGTCTCACCACCCTCCATCAAATATTTCTTCTTTCTCTCTGGTCTAAATCTCCCTCTTTAAGAACCTTCACCCCTTGTCCTGTCACAACAAGCCCCCATCTTTCTCAGAGGCCCCTGGCAGCCCCCAGCAGGTCTCCCCAGCTGGAGCCTTCTCCTCTGGGGCTGCCCCAGCCCAA